TTTCTTCAATTTTTTTTTTTTTTTTTTTTTTTTCTTTTTAAATATCTTCCGATAAGATTTTTGTCTGTTTATTTTCCGGGCTCGTTGCAAATAGGTATTTATTTGGTGGTTTTTTTTTTTTTTTAACGGGAATTAAATATACACAAGTTCTACCAGCTTCATGACGCTTTCATTCCCTGACATTTTGAACGCAATGAGGAAAAGCTTGGTGGCTCACACTTCACTCCCAACTTGGCGTCTAGTATATGAAGCATGATGTACGTCCCTAAATCAAGAGCGTCTCGAGACACTTTGGTGCCGGACACTTTCAGGAAGCAGACAACCAGGTCAGGCATCCTGTCGCACGCCTTTTGCGGGTTGCCACCTACCTCCAAGAAAAAGTCAAAGGCGCAGATTTTGAAGTCGACTCCCAGATCGGGTGAAAACGCCGTCTGCCGTCTCCTTGGCCTTGCAGTGTTCTTGATATCACAGTGGAAGCCACAGATGTCTTCTGCAGCCTTTGACAGGCCGTTAATAATGACTTTACTTGTGTTGCCTCCAAAGGGTGATCCGATTCTGACGTATGTCGAGGCCAGGCAGTTAGCGAATTGTGAAATACTTTTACAGTTCACCCCTCCATTTCGATTGACAGCTTTTTGAAAGACGTGACCGCATTCTATGGACAAGCGAATCGTGGCGAGGAAAGTGATCGCTGAAATGAATGCATGTTAGAACAACTTGATACAAGTCCTTCGATAGCGGAGTCTAGATCTAAAAATTTATAATTATTACAGTACTGTATGTAAATATGTATAATTATTTTATGAATATAATATATTTAAAAATTGTATAACTTAAATGTTCTTAAATGTTTTGTCTTTAAAATAAATAAATACATTCTCTGTTAAACAAGCGATTTTTATTTTAATTTTACAAAAACATCTTGTTAGCTGGGTTGGTTTGTTGTACTGAATCGTGTTGAAAGAATCCCTAAATCATCTAGTAGAACACAACACTGTTGAGATATTCAACTCATGTAGAGTACTACCTTGTTGCCACATTCAACTCATGTAGTCGAGTCTACTACCCTATTGCCACATTCAACTTATGTAGCCGAGTATATTACCCTATTGCCACGTTCAACTCATGTAGCCGAGTCTACTACACTGTTGCCATATTCAACTCATGTAGCAGAGTCGGACATGCGTCTGCTCATACAAAAGAGATATGGCCCTGAATGTCTAATTTTCCAGATTGATTTCAATACTTCTTATGCTGCGAACGTGACGCCCCGTGAAAGTAAATGTGGCACCTCTGCTAGTTTTTATATGACATGACCTTATCAATGGGCTTTAATTTAAGTTTTTGAAGGAACCAGCGAGGTCCTAATGAAATATCTATGTCAACACGCCCCCCCCCCCCACTCCACTCCGGTAAGCTTCGATAACACCAGTTCAATATCTCCGAGCCCCAAACTTTTATTCTAATCAATATATACGGCCTATTTATGTAATGCACGATTGAACTGAAATAGGTTCATTATACAGTGCTTTACTGAGTTATTGAAGCCGTTAGAATTTATCAGTAGAAATGAACTTGGATCAAAACTATACACGAATGGACTTATCTACTTGCATATCTCCGAACAGGAGCGTTACAAAGGTCGGATTTTATGTGGACTACTCCAGGTGCCAGTTCTGTCCGGATAAAAGTATGATCTTATGTCGTCGTCATAGGGTCGTATTCGTGAGGATGTTAANGGGCTTTAATTTAAGTTTTTGAAGGCACCAGCGAGGTCCTAATGAAATATCCATGTCAACCCGCCCCCCCCCCCCACTCCACTCCGGTAAGCTTCGATAACACCAGTTCAATATCTCCGAGCCACAAACTTTTATTCTAATCAATATATACGGCCTATTTATGTAATGCACGATTGAACTGAAATAGGTTCATTATACAGTGCTTTACTGAGTTATTGAAGCCGTTAGAATTTATCAGTAGAAATGAACTTGGATCAAAACTATACACGAATGGACTTATCTACTTGCATATCTCCGAACAGGAGCGTTACAAAGGTCGGATTTTATGTGGACTACTCCAGGTGCCAGTTCTGTCCGGATAAAAGTATGATCTTATGTCGTCGTCATAGGGTCGTATTCGTGAGGATGTTAACATTATCATTATCGGCAAGTACAACATTCCTTGTTAAATAGAAACAGTATTCCTGCTGGTTATATAGAAACAGTGTTCTTCCCTTTGAGTAAACCTCGACTGCTTGTCTTATATGTTAACTAGAAATTAATGTTTCTTTCTTGTTAGTAAAGATTTAATGGCTTTTTCACATGTTAATAAATCCTGAATGATTGTCTCACATGTTAGTAAACCCTGAATGATTGTCTCGCATGTTAGTAAACCGTAAATGATTGTCTCGCATGTTAGTAAACCGTAGATCCACGTTAACCCAAACTTTTAAGTTTCACGGACCGGTGGACAAGTTTCGAAACTGCACCAGGGACCGGTGCCAGATTTATTAATTACATTTTCTTTCTATTTAAACATCAATATTCATGCTCTCTGGACCGGCGGATGATGGCCCACGGACAGGCGGATGATGGCCCACGGACCGGCACTCTGAGTAGCACTGCCGTTGATGATTGTCTCATACGTTAGTGAACCGTAGAATATTGTCTCGCATGTTAGTAAACCCTGAATGATTGTCTCGCATGTTAGTAAACCCTGAATGATTGTCTCACATGTTAACTAAAATTGAATGAACATTCTTACTTGTAAGTAAACATTTCAGATCCATACTTTTTTTTTTAAGTTGTCAAGTACGCGAGCTGATGAGAAGACAAAAGGTGTATGGATAGCAAATGCTCGTTCTTCTAGAATGACTGGTAGCCGGATTCCCTTACTTGGGTCAATTGAAGCGTGCTGATGTGCTCATGCCAAGCGTTGGTGCCGGCATTGCCTGGCTAAGAATTTATTTTTTTATTTATACTCTCCCTAAGTGTTATAGATAGGGACATTACAACGTATAGTTGTTATTGTGTCTTCAGGTGAACAGCTATTTTTAAAACAAATGACCACACGCTGTCATTTAATCCCCACACCACCATCCCCATGTCGTCATCATTCCCCCACCCACTTTGGAGAAATTCAGGACTTCCAATCTCATTCGAATATTTTTAACTACCTTGCTATTTGTCGGTTATTTTCGGGAGCTATTTTTAAAGACTACCCAACTCCGATTGCTCACGTTTTTAAGCGTTCACGTTACGTAAAAGAGAAGGGGCTTGTACTGGAAATTTTACCTCGCTTGATTTAGCTTCAAGCCTCTAACGGGAACTTTTGAATTGAGTCAAAACTTTGGGAACTGGTGACGCGGAGGATGGTCTAACCAGGATTCTTGTGGTTGTGTGTGTCTGTGTGTGTGTTTTTGTGTGTGTATGGGTGTGGTTTTTGTTGTTTAGTTGTTTTGTTTGTTTGTGTTTTTTTTTTTGGGGGGGGGGGCTGGGGGGGGGGGGGGGGAGGGGGGGGGGTAGGGTTTACAAAGATAGGGGGGAAAAAAACAAAATTTCAAATGGACAATATTTTTATTTTTTGGGTGTGGTTTTTGTTGTTTAGTTGTTTTGTTTGTTTGTGTTTTTTTTTTTGGGGGGGGGGGCTGGGGGGGGGGGGGGGGAAGGGGGGGGGTAGGCTTTACAAAGATATGGGGGAAAAAAACAACATTTCAAATGGACAATATTTTTATTTTCCTAACTAATTATTTATTGTTCAATCTAAATCAAACTAATTTGGTATTTGTTTATGAAAATGAAGGGTGATTTTTAAAAAAAAATAAAAAAATTTGAAATAAAATCTAGGTGAGAGTAATTCAAATTCTGTCTTAAAAGAGTGACAATCGATGAAAAGGGAGACTACCCTATGTATGAACTTCTCAACTACGTCTTAAAGGGGAGGGGGGGTAACCTGTGACATTATGGATAATGTCACGATTGCGCATAAATATAATTACCTTACTTTTTATTTTTACACCGGCCCATAGTGACAATAACATTATGCGTTTATGTATGGTGTTTTTTCTAATAGACATAATCCCACGCAAAGTAACGCATGAGGGAATTCCCAAGGGAAAAAGGCCTTTTCGATTACGGTCATGGTACGCACGTAGACACGGGTAGCCTCAATGTTATCCCACTCGGCCGATTTACCGCCACTCAAAACAATGGATAAACTTGTATCCTGGCCAGTCTTATATTATTTTTCTAAATGGTCCTTTGAAAAAATATATATAAAAAAATTAAAGATAGAAATAACTACGTATTGTGCGAGAGCACGACTTTGTGTTCTATATCAGGGCAATGGCTCAAGCGTTGACGAACCAGAGCCAAGTAGGTGGAGATTATCACCGAATCAACAACACAGCTCGGGTGATAGTAAGATTATCCATGACGAAATACTATGCACTATTTTTTATAAACTAAGATCAAGCACTATGTATTATATAGTAAGTTAAGGTATTTTGTATTATATATTAAGATAACTTACTATGTATTTATACTAATAGCACGTACGATGTATTATATACTAAGAGCACGTACTATGTATTACATACCAAGAGCACGTACTATGTATTATATACTAAGATCTCGGACTGTGTATTACATACTAAGAACACGTATTATGTATTATATACTTTGCCTAGTTAGCTAAACAGGTTAGACAGCTTGTTCTTTCTGACTGGTCAGTTGGCTAGAAGTGTACCCAGGACAAATGACGCCCACCGCAAGAATTATTTGTGAGCACCTTATCAAGCTTGATAAGGAATATTCTTTTTTTTTAAATTATTTTATTGAAATTAACTTTTAGTATACAAGGCGAGAAGAAGAAACATATCATTAATAAGCATTTTAACGTATTCAATATACTTATTAAATATGATAGGTTAAAAAAAAGTATTTGTCAAGCTCGTCGAATTTTGTGCCATCACCCAACCACGCCATTTTTTTTTCAAGTTGCACCCATGGCACGTGGTGTTTTTTGCCTCTTCAATTTGCTATATTATATTTACTAGTAGGATTAACAAACCCTTTCGTGCGATTAGTTGGAAAGTTTTTGATCTTCTGTTAAGATAAATTTTTAATGAAGATTACAGCTGACTGATAGTCATGTCAATGTGAGGCAGCACCACGCCGGGGAATGGTAGGCATGTCAATGTGAGGCAGCACCACGCCGGGGAATGGTAGGCATGTCAATGTGAGGCCGCACCATGCCGGGGAATGATAGACATGTCAATGTGAGGCCGCACCATGCCGGGGAATGATAGACATGTCAATGTGAGGACGCACCATGCCGGGGAATGATAGACATGTCAATGTGAGGCCGCACCACGCCGGGGAATGATAGACATGTCAATGTGAGGCCACACCACGCCGGGGAATGATAGACATGTCAATGTGAGGCCGCACCATGGCGGGGAACCACGTGGTCCAAGATTGGTTGTTGACACGTACAGCTTATTGTTGGCCGTTTAAGTGCAACGTCAATTCGGTTATTTAAATCTCCACGTTGGAACGTTACTTTTTGGGTTTTCGAAGTCCCCCTGGGAAGTACCCTATCGGTAGACCCACGAAGCCCCCTATCAGTGGACCCACGAAGCACCCTACTCGGTAGACCCACGAAGCATTAGAATGCGAGTAACGGTCCCCCTTACCCTCCGAAGTTTCAAAACCGATGTCAAGATGGTCATCTACTTAACAAAGATAATGACCTGTTAAACATGTTAGCACACCCACCCCCATATTAGCATTATGTCAATGCCTGGATTAAGATCTACACATTGAAAGTACGTATCTCTTTTGCCGCAACAGATTTGCCTTCTAAACTGCCCGATTGCAACATCCACTTTAATACTCTTCAAAAATGACACCACCTCCCTGCCACCTCCTCCACACCCCCCGCACAGTAGGGCACCACCACGGCCATTGATAACGCCAGACACGACTTTATTCATTCGCCACGATTCGTGTTGTTTGCAACTGAACACTTGGTACGGCTGTTGGTACCCATTCAGGCGGACTACGCTCTGCGACGTTGTGGAAAAATAGTTTCATAGAAAAGTCTTTTTTTCACAAGTTTGGAGGAGGTTATTACACTTACTCCACGGGGATATACAGGTGGGGGGTCTAAAAGCTAACTCAAATGTTTGCTTAGTTGTGTATTTGTGTAAAGTAGAGACATTGTCACGCTGGTTTGAGAATGAGTCGTGTGTTGAAGAGAGGAGGGATGGAGGCATAGAGGGAGGAGGAGGGAGAGGAGGTATAGGAGAGGAGGGATGAAGGGATAGAGGGAGGGAGAGAGAGGGGGAAGGGAGAGAGAGAGACACACACACCGAGTAAGCTTAACTAGTATTTTTTTTTTTAAATAACAACACCATCAATGCTTAGTGTATAGAATGTCTATTTTGTTAAATAAAATAATGAACAGTTTTTTTGGTTTACTTTTTAAAAATCCCTATCTCAGCATATTTGATGAAAACACAGGCATCAAAATCACATTGGGAATAAATAAACTATTTTAAACTAGGATATTTTTAAACATTTAAAAAAAATTAAAGGTTTTTAAATTGCTAAATCCAGCCATCCATCCCATTGGTCAAACCTTACTATGTACAATCATTACTGAGCTAACAATTCAATGGTCTAACACAGCGTGCTGGTCAATTATATTGGATACGATCATGACCATGTCTATGACCAATGTCAGTGTGCTTTTTTTTTTTTTAATTTTTTTTTTTTATTTAAATTAATTTTTTTGTTATATTTCAAAAGTTTTTTTTTTTTTTTTTTTTTTTCCTTATATAATATAAGTTCGTCTTTGTATGCCAACTTTTGTCTTAAAAATGTGTGGGCTAGGCAAGAAACATCGGATTAAAAATAAAACTGTGGACGATTTTAAACGAAACGAAAGTTGATAAAAAAAATAGAACTTAAGTTATTTTAAGATCAAATTAGAAAAGATTTGTGTAATTCCCGTTTTGACATCATGATACGGGGGTAAGTTCAAGGGCCTTCCATAAATGATGTCACGTTATTTGACCGATTTTCTTAAGCCACCACCTCCTGCCGTCATAATGTTTGCATGTTTTGTTGGTTTTTTTTTTTTTAAATTTAGACATACGTCACACATCGTCAAAAATCCGTGACCACCCATCCCAGGCGCATGACGTCATTTATGGAAACCGTCTGAGCAGTTCTAAGTGTTCATTTTGTAATTAAGTGTCATTGCACTATATGCCTCTCCAGACTGAGCTTATTTAGGAAATTAAATAATTAGGTCAACATCAACGTAATTCCAGGGGTCTGAATGTTGTTGTTTTTTTTTGGTTTTTTTTTTTAAAACATCAACAAAAAACTAAAAACACAGGAGGTTTAAAAATAAAAAATGTCTCAAATTGAGCATCAGCCGAATGAAGTCAAACTATTTTATACAATAAACGCATTTAATTAAAAAAAAAAAAAAAGATACATAAGATCAATGAAATGTTACGCACCGGTTCTTTCGCTTCGTTTGTCTAGGGGTTGTTATATTAAATACACAAACCAGTGCTTCATAGAATAAAGTATCTTTATTAACCAAACTACAATGTCACCTGCCAGCAGGTCCACTCAATCACAAGAAACTCCACACACAAAAAATACGTCATTTCCTCTTACGCAAACTACGTCACAAAACACCAAGCATTCAATGGCAACATCTACCCAAATACTCTCCAGACAACACGCAATCACCAAATACATTCAAGTCCTTAACAGATGAAACAATTAAAAATTGCAAAACGTTTGGCATGAAGAATTGAAAACAAACACACAAATACGCTAACAAAAGAATCAGGAAAAAAAAATATTTTTTTTAATGAATTGTGGAAAATAAAACATAATTCAAAAGTCATGAATAATAATTAGTAAAATTCGCAAATCGCGAAATTCAATAGAGACAATAGTTGCTTTAATAATATTAGAAAAAAACACATGTTTGCAAATTGATAAAAAAAATTAATAAAAAACATCCTTTGATTTAAAATCTCCTTAAAAAATAGTGGGTCCATTAAAAACAAGGATGGTGATGATAAAGAACATGCGCAACAAGAAGTTTTGGAACAATGATCATGTATTATTTGAAATACTACAACAGTTCAGTTGGTAATGGAATGTTCATTTTAAAAGAAGTACACAGTGATTGATAATGAATGGCAAATGTTCATTCTCCCCCATGAAATATACAAGACAACATTTAAACAAATGAATGACTATTTGCAGAACATTACAGGACAATATTATTGTGTTCATTACATGGACCTACGGTGCGGGCTCTATTGCAGGCCGGGGGGGGGGGGCGGGGGCTCTAGTGCAGAGTTCCTCCAATTGTTGGTTCGCACAACGTGAACATTTGTGGTCAAGGCGAACGAAAATATAAATTAAACTGGCACCGGTCCCTGGTGCAATTTCGAAACTTGTAAACCAGGCCGCCAATCTTAAAAGTAGTTTGAGAAGCGCTGCTCTAGAGTACCTCAGTAATGGAATGGAAATAGAGACGAGGTGGGGGCACTGATTCAGAGATGGCCTTCAGGCGTTGGATAGCCAATTTGTAGATTGAAGTCAAGCACTGGATTGCCAATGCATAGCTTGAAGGCAGACACTGGATAGCCAATGCATAGCTTGAAGGCAGACACTGGATAGCCAATGCATAGCTTGAAGGCAGACACTGGATTGCCAATGCATAGCTTGAAGGCAGACACTGGATTGCCAATGCATAGCTTGAAGGCAGACACTGGATAGCCAATGCATAGCTTGAAGGCAGACACTGGATTGCCAATGCATAGCTTGAAGGCAGACACTGGATAGCCAATGCATAGCTTGAAGGCAGACACTAGATTGCCAATGCATAGCTTGAAGGCAGACACTGGATAGCCAATGCATAGCTTGAAGGCAGACACTAGATTGCCAATGCATAGCTTGAAGGCAGACACTGGATAGCCAATGCATAGCTTGAAGGCAGACACTGGATTGCCAATGCATAGCTTGAAGGCAGACACTGGATAGCCAATGCATAGCTTGAAGGCAGACACTAGATTGCCAATGCATAGCTTGAAGGCAGACACTAGATTGCCAATGCATAGCTTGAAGGCAGACACTGGATAGCCAATTTGTAGATTGAAGTCAAGCACTGGATAGCCAATGCATAGCTTGAAGGCAGACACTGGATAGCCGATTTATAGATTGCTGGAAGACTCTAGATAGCCTATTTATAGATTGTATGCTGACGCTGGATACCAATTCCCTGTCATGTACACCAGTGAAGGACCGTGTGAGCGACAAGTGAATCTTAATAAGACTAGTATGTCTTAGACCAGAAGTCGCAACTGAACCGAAGGGCCATTAGACCTTAATGACATACTCCAAAGGCTGAACCAAATCTACTAGCATCATAACAAATTATTTTTGTGGGTCTCTCTAAAATATCCATACATATTTGAAATCTTTACGCATATGAAAAACTCGAAGGTCTGCAAGACTGAGGCATTTGATGTGAAGGCTTTAATACACATTTTAAAATACTTGCGATGCAATGTGTTGGCGATGGAAGTGAAATTTAATATCACACATTAAAAATATGAAGAGTTTTGCTTCTCATGTAAGAAGAACACGAATAGAGTTTTGGTGAAGTTAGTGCGTTGCTGCCTTTCTATGAATGAAGTAGTTTTACCTCGCATATCTACATTAACAGGATGATTGGAAAACAGTCACGTATTTACATTAATAGGATGATTGGAAAACAGTCACATATTTACATTAATAGGATGATTGGATAACAGTCACATATTTACATTAATAGGATGATTGGAAAACAGTCACATATTTACATTAATAGGATGATTGAAAAAGAGTCACAAATTTACATTAATAGGATGATTGGAAAACAGTCACATATTTACATTAATAGGATGATTGGAAAACTGTCACATATTTACATTAATAGGATGATTGAAAAAACAGTCGTATATTATGCAGCATATAGATAAAGGTGAGATCATGTGAACATGCAGAGAACCACGCAGATAACTGGGAGACTTGGATAGAGCCAGAAGAAAATGAAACGCGGCAACCAGTGGCATACATAAAACCAATGACGTGTCAATGTTGGGTTAAAATAAATCAAATACTTTTGGTAATAATCGAAAATTTAAACAAAACGAAGTGTGCACATTTAACTAAGAGTAAGTTTATAAGTAGACAGAATGTGATGGACAGTAGCAAGAATGTTCAGGGGGTCAAAACTGAAATGCCTTGAGCAGTCGAACACCCTGGTGTGTCTTACATTTTCAACAAATGGAATGCCTGCAAGTGTGTTTGTGTATTGTATATCTTTCAAAATAGGCATGTTTTTAATAGCAGGAAGAAAAAAAAATGACATAAGGGACATTGGGTAATGTTGTTACACAAGGTAAAGCTGCAGGGAATGGGGGTAGACATTTTGGGATACAGGATATAGCGATGTTGGGATATCTGGGCATAGAGACATTGGAATATAGGGGGATAGAGAAATCGGGATATGCGGGATAGAGACATTGAAATGGGGATAGAGGCATTGGGATATGGGGGTTGGAGACATTGGGGTATGGGGATAGAGGAATTCGGATATTTTCACGTGTCGCTCGGCTCTGAATATCACAATCCCAGGTCACGACTTTTAAGAAGTTAATATCTTTTTGGCCTTTTTGGACATTTCTTTTGGATTCTTCTAGTACTGAACGACCTGTCACACGTGACGCCAAACTTGGCCTGTATGACGTGAGCCATGATGTGTGTTCCCAGTTCGATGGCTTCACGTGACGTTCTGATCCGGGACTTGACGAGAAAACACACGACCAGGTCGGGCAGATTATCGCACGCCTTGCCCGGGTTGATGTTGACCTGCAGTATATGATTGAACGCGCATATCTTCAAAGCAGGTCCCAGCGCTAGCAGATACGGCGTTGCGTGTTCCTGTTCGCCTGCATCGGTTCTGATAGCGCACTCGAAACCACAGGCACTCTTGGTGATGTTGGACAAAGCCTCGGCAATGAGTTTCGGCATGTCTGCTCCAAAGGGTGAATCCATAGCAGCGTGCTTGGCTGCGAGACAGGTGGCGAAGTCGGAGATGCGCTCACAGCTGCTGTCCACGTCGTCGCTCAGGCGGGAGCTCAGAATCCCCCGACACTGCAGCGTGGGGTTCATCATAGTGGCCAAGATGAGCACTGGAATGATAGGACATGATGTCGTGAGTCTGTCAAGCAATCTTGCTATGGCTAGTACATGTACAAACAATCTTGATATAAAAATTCGCTCAATACAACACATAAAACACAAGGCTGACATTTACTACCAAATAAAAGAACATATTTTACATATTGGAATTTGCATTGCTATCACAAAAAGCCACGTAATTCTTCACATAATACATAATACATAATGCATAACGCATAACATCATCCGTAACCCTTCACGGTGCATACAGACACCCACACAGACACCCAAGTATGCACCAAACAGCCACCCACACGGAAACCCACACAGACACCCACACAGGCACCTACACAGACACCAACACAAACACCTACACAGACCCCCACACATGCACCCACTCAGTCACCCAGTCAGGCACCCACACAGGCACCCACACAGACACCCACACAGACACCTACGCAGACACCCACACAGACACGCACGCTGACACCCACGCAGACACCCAACTCAATTCACGCAGCAATTTAATTCTGATAATAATATAAAAAAAAATTATAACTTACATAGCAAGTTGCAGGAGTATCCCATATTCTTTATAAAATATTTTGGCAGAAAGTGGACCATGATGACAAGACCAATTGGGTTATGGCCTTGCTTGATTTTTAAAAAAAAATACTTTATCAACAAAAAATTATTTTTATTTTAAAACTTTATCTCTTATCTAAACTGCTTTTTAAATGAGTGTTATACTTGAATTTAAAAAAAACAACAAGTTATTTCGATGATTATAAGCCTCGATTACAATTCGCGAAATTCTAGATGTGCTCAACCCAAGAGTCTGTCTGATGATTCCTTCAAGAGACATGGGTTTATATAGTTTTTGTCTCAACAGCTTCAGTTATTTTTAGCTGACAATCCAAGCCAGTAATAGACGTACATCATATTTCTTAAAACTCTTATTCAATAAATTTAGAATAATTTTTTTAAAATCCCCAAATATTGATTAAATACCTGAAGTAATTTTAAACTTTTTTTGGTGTGTTTTTTGTTACCTCTGTATCAATGGGTGATCAAAATAAAAATGTAGAAAATCGGGAATTTCCTTTCTTCCAGAGTTCAAAAACAAAGTTTTACCGTTTTTTAACTAGGTAAGCCTTCTGGCGTCAATAATTGTCAAAGGTGAATGAATAAATTATAATGTGGATGAGAAGGGGGATTTGTGAAGGGTGAGGGGAGGGGGGGGTCGATTGTTATTGAACATGAATGTTTGGTAGGCTACCTGGTAGGCAAGAGATGACGCTGTTGATTCCGGATTTTTAAATTAAATCTACTTTACACTTTAAAAAAAATTAACAGAGAGGATGGGGCACATTTTTCAAATTATTGAGGTGTTGCATTTTTGGCCAACTGCAGAAGTGTTTTCATGGTGTGGTGGGTGGTGTGGTGGAAAAATTGTGACCCGCCCGAATGACAATAACCTAAGCTGTGTCACTGACAGTATGAGTTTTGTCTTAGTATTACAGGCAGGGATGGTGCCCTCATCAGGATCGAGCCCCTCCCACCCCCTCACCCCCCATTCCTCTCTGCATAGATACATACAAAAGAGTCAACTAAACATAAGAACACGTAAGCTGTTGTTGGTGTTTGATGACGTGACCTTCTTCGGAGTTACTTCCTTATGTATGATGTTTGATGACGTCACTTTCTTCGGAGGTACTCCCCCATAAATGGTGTTTGATGACGTCACCTTCTTCGTAGTTACTCCCTCGTGATGGTGCCTTCACAGCGAATATGTTGCAGTTTGTAAAGCTACATGACCAATGATCGAATGTCCGGGAAAAAAAAGCTTATTATGTGTTTGGCGTTTTATGTGCAGGCAGGTACGTGCCGAGAACAAGTGGCACCCGGTTTTAAGACTGGATATATTGAGGGGAAAAAAAGAGCCCCCTTGAGGGGGGGGGGCTAGTAAAATAACATACGTACTCCAAGTACGTGGAATTTTATCGTTCAATTCTCTGTAAAATAAAACGATTGTGGCGACCCCCCCCCCTTTNCCCCCCTTTTTTTTGCCGACTACTCCTTCCCCCCCCCCCCCCACCCAATCCTTTTTCGCTTAGCCATGTGTGTTGGTCAAACTGATCACTCTTTCATATGTGTTAATGGTGATATCACAGGTGTCACATTTTGTGCATTAAAATTTGGGGTAGGTAAAAAAGTAGGAAGAAATACGTCATATTTTTAAAAAAGCAACAAACAAAAAAACAAACAAAACAAAAAACAAAAATCACACAAATTGTGCATTTATTTCACAGAGTAATTTTTAAATCCTATAAATAAGTGAAATGAAATAAATTAAGGCTGCAATTATTTATTTCACCAGTTTTAAAATAGAACGATTCAAGATAGATAACTCCAAATTACTTGGGGCTCATGCTAAGAACTTTAATATAAATAGTTAATTGATGATGCAAGTCATTCTATTTAAATACAGAATTCCAAGAATCAATATAATATTTTATATTTGTCATTGAGTCGATTTTTTTTTCATATCATATTTCCTTATGCAGAAATTAATTATAGAAAATTAGATAAAAATTGTCATGAACATATAAATATATTTTTAATCATTTTAGTTAATTAATATGACACATAAAACATAAAAATATTTTTAAAAATTGGAAAATAAGTATACTGGTCTTTGTTATATATACATATATAAACAGATATTTAATATGTAATGTATTTTCCGGTAATTTCCACACTAAAATGCCTCCTTTCGGGAAACCCCCAAATTTAATATTCAAAAGTTCTCCGGATATTCCCAGACACACAATTTCACTATACTATAATTAATCTTTTAAGAAAACTTATAACAGTTATAGGCCTTCACCATAATTTTTTTTTTTTTTTAAATTTATGTTTAGGCTTAGGTTTAAATTTTATTTTAAAAGACCAGGTGAGGAAAAAATAACGATCCACCTTACCTTACGATAACATGGGGAATAAATATAAATATAATTATAATTAATATTAATATTAATTATAATTATGTCATGTTGCATTAATGAACTCAAAACTGCTACTATTAGGCCTAATTTGTAGGTCTACTAACTAAGCCAGGGCAAGACATGCATTACACGCATAAAATTAATTATCTGCTATAGTTATAATGATAGCAATGATTAGCAATGTAACTCTGTAGGCCTAATTGTAATGAAATCAACAGATATCTACAAATAGAAAAACTAACTTTTGGGGTTCTTCTTTTGACGCAAAGACGCAGTTACTTTTTAAAATTAAAAGCATCTACTAATTCCCTAATCAATATGATTATATTTTGGACGCGCATTCGTCGGTCTGACATGTTAACTAATTTTTATTTTAACATTTATCGAAGGTGTCGTAGTCTATAACATTAAATAAAACATTGAGCTAATTATGTTGGACAATTCATTTGCGGCCCACGGATACTACTTCTAGGCTAAGTGAACTTTTAAATTATACACTACCATTTCTGTTGACGTCCCTTGGAAGCGAATTATTTCCCCTGACATGCCTTTTTCTAAATATAACTACACGTAAAGTCAGGTTCAAACATGTGTTTGGAACAAACACC